CTAATGTCTTTGTTTGCGTTATCATTAGGGTAACTGAGACACAAATGAAGGACATGAAAAATGCACATTTTGTTGATTTCCTTGATTTTACGCTCGTTACTTTTCTGAGTCGTGTAATTTGTATTTTAAGTTGTTATGTCAGTTTCAACGTAATGTATTATGATTAAAATGTGTACATTATGTGTGACACAATGTAGCCATTTAGTGCATTTTGCTCCGAACAACGGAAAGTCCAGTGTGAATTACTATTTTTCACTTGGATTATTTATTTATCTTGCTATATTATTTTAGAGAAACTTTTGCTGCTTACCATCAAAGTAACAATATTGGCTCTCATACGGAAAAAGAATTCCATTTAAAGGACAATCAGAAAGTAAGAAATTGATGTTAACATTTTTATTCTGTGCTGTTATATGGGAAGTGCCTGTATTGTAAGGTGGAATTGGATTGTTCAGCTCACTGTATGGTACTTTAAAGAAGCAAATGCATATAATTATGATTGTATTATGTGAGGAATAATCATATAATACTCCGATTTGTTAACAGTTTCATAGAATTATCATTATCATACAATGTAATAATCTATGTCAAAAGTCGTTACCTTATATTCAGTGAACTTTTCAGCGAAAGCTTAAAACAGGACTGTAGGAAGATTTCAGAAATGTTTTTTTAAGTTAAGTTTTTTGTAAGAACTGTACAAAATGAGACTTGAAAAACTAACACTTTCTTACTTGAATTTTCTGATTCGTCATCATAACCATCCATTCCATCGATTCATGTTTGCTACCAACATGTTACTGTTGTACTGTTCTGTTTTGTCTGGTATGTGTTATAGAATTTGCAATGCTACATTGTTATGCCTTGCACTCCCCACTTTACCACCCCACCCCCTCCCTCCCCAAATAGCAACCCCTGAAAGATATTTTTAGAAGGACAAGACAAGTGAGCAATCCCATACTTACAACACTGACACACATAGACAGACATACTGTCAACACCGACCCAATATGTCACGGTAGAAATAAAGAATAACCTCCCATGTCTTTGTGCACGTTGACGATCACAGTCAGCTGTTTCTTGCAAGACCTAGCACCAACCCCGCTGTGACCCCCACTGTGACTTTGGATCTAAGTAGTGGGTTAAGTCAGCCCCATTCTGGGGGAGGAGGTGTCTGAGTTTACTTTTACTTTTTTCCTCTCCTGAGAACGTGGACTTTCTTCCAGATGTTTTTATTATATTGAAGGCCTTTTGATTGTTAGAGCCCGTTCTTGTTTCTCTGAAAAACAGTTTCTTTTTGGATGTCACTGAAGACATTTTGTCTCCTGTGGTATCTATTGAGCTTCTGTTGACCTACATCTTTCTTCGGTGGGTTGTTGGAGGGTCCCACTGGAAGGTTCTACTTCCTTAATTTACCTCTGAGCTGTTCTGTCTATCCATCTTAATGTTTCTCCAGCTCCAAATAACTACCAATAGGCAGGTGTGCTTCTCTTTACGCAACCTGAAATTAAAAACAATATCTACTGAAAAAAATCTTTCTAAGGGTCTCTGCTTATAAAGATGCCAAGAAAATGTTGAGTATGAGCGATTTGACTTGCGCCCCCTACGTCTCGTTTCTTGACATCTGTGGTGAAAGCAACCTACAAAGTCAAGATGGCAATAATGGCCCATCTCAATACAATACGAGTATTGAAGTCCTACTTGCCTGGATACGACCGCACAGCTCCCAATTGGCACACCTCTTCTCTTCTTAGATGTTGTTGTGCACAAGAGATCTCATATGCTGATGACAAATGTTTCATTTTCAGGCTTCCAGCTGACCGCCATGACTTCATGTGTCTAAACTGTCTGTCGAGTGCTCGACTAACACTTGATATGATATTATTGGTTTCTGTGTTACCGACTATGTGAGTAATCCAGGCATTCCATGCCTAGTTGGAAAGTGAAGAATTCTTTCAAAAATAAATGTTAAGGGAATGAATGTGTTCTCATTCTTTTTTGTATTTTAAAAAATGCAAAAAACTATTCCGAGAACCGACATCTATAGTGTAATGGTCAAGCTGTCCACTATTGTACTCAGAGGACGCGAGTTCATTTTACTATGGGAAAAGTTGTTCTTTTTTGTGGCTTAAAGAAAGCGAGAACATAATTATTCTCCAGTGCGGAAAAAAAAGGAAGCAGATGACAGTCTAGGGCTTGTCTTTTTTCTGGTCCTGGGGAAGAAGGAGGGGTTGCTGGGATATTTGCATGTCCATCTTGTCCTTGGTTTTCCACATTATCGGTAACATTATATTCTCTGTGTGTTTCCTAGATGATCACCTCTACTCTTACCCTCCTTAAGGGAAATGAAATACATGTTTATACATTCTTCATCCAATAGTAATACTAACTTCTTTAACATGACGTATTATGTAACTAAAAGTAATAGTTCCCTCATCAACAGTAGCCTACGGTTCGATCTTTTGCTCAGTCCGATGTTGTGTTCTTGGGAAAGGTGCTTTACTCGAATTTCCCATTTGGTTTGGTCTTTTCTGAGATTGACGTTAATTTTGGAGGTCCTTTTCAAGTTACCTAATAGTGTTGATATGGGCATTAAACCTTTACCACTTCACCATTTCATTTCACTTGTAGCTTACGGAAAGTTCATGCTAGTGGTTGTGCATGTGCTTTCCTTAATCGTCAGATGTTGTCAATTCATCACCATAGCCACGTATTCTCCTCGCCCTTTGGAATTTTTGTAGACGTTAGAAAAAATAATTTTGTTTGGTCATTTATCTTTTGGTGCTTAGAGATGCACAGATTTTACATTATCCCCGACTTGAGATTCTGATGGTTGTCTGAATTGTTTTATGATGCTGGGCCTTGTTAGAATTCACATTTGTCTATAGGAGTGTTTTGCTTGTTGAACATAGTGAAGACTTAAAATTAGTTCAGAAAAAGACTGTTCTATGTCTCGTATAAGTTCTTTGGTTCAGTATAATGTTCCAAAAAGCATCTACTTCTTACTTCTTATATATATATATATATACATGCTGTCATCAGGACTTCAGGACTGAGATATCATCATCACTACCTGTCTCTCCCTGCATAAGGGTATAGGTCATGAACAAATAATTTTCACCTTTCCCTATCCTGGGCTAGCCTCTTTACATTATTCCTTGTTTTTCCACATTTCTGTTCATCATTCTCTGTGGCTCTTCTCCGGGTTCCATGTGGCTTTTCTCTTGAGCTTTTACCCTGTAAATTGGGATAAACTTGTTTGTATTACAAACTTGTTCCTTTTCTTGTCTGGAGGTTTTTCTGTATAGCTCATTGGCTTGTCTCACTTTCTGTTTTGCTGCATCACTAGCTAGGGTACACGGGTACTTGTAGGAGGTGTCTAGGACTAGTCAGAATCAATCTCAAGTCAAGGGCTCGTCTTATCCTCTTCTTTATGTATACTGTAATAGTGGCTCCATCTAAATAAACAACTGTATTGAGAATTAAACCAAATGCAAGAATTCTCACCCCATGGCTATAGTTTGTCTTTTAAATTCAATCATCTGAATCTGTCAACGGAATGACAATGAGTCAAAATGTTTTTCTGTTTCTTATTCTGGTCAATTCCTCATCGCTTCCCAGAAAACATAATTATTCAAATTTGAAGATTTGTTTTTGAACTTATGTTACCGCCATGTTATTGTATTGTATGTCCAGCGTCGTGCAGTGCCACTTATATATTTTTCCTTATTTGTGTACTCTATAAATAATATTGACTATCATTCGTCTCACACATTTAACTAACATCAGGTAAAACTTGTTAAGAACTATAACATAACTGAACTATCTTTTCAATGCTTCTCTATTTGTTCCTTTCTTTTTTTTATACTCTCTTGTAATAATGATTCATTTTTCTCTTTGCCATCAATGGCTCATGGTTTCAGTCATCATATCCCCATCCGTCCCCCCACCCTATTTTCTCACTCACCCCCTCCCTTCTCAGATACTTAAAATGAAATCCCAAAGCCCCTTCTAATCTAACCAACATTACACACGTGTGTTGTAGACAGCTGCCATTCTCGTTCTGTAATCTTGAACAGATATGGAGTTAATGTTCCCAATAAAGATCACTATTTTTTTTAAACATTGTTATTTTTCTTTCATTGTGGATTTGCTTGAGTAAATTACAACCTTATTGGAAGAGCACTTCGGGCACAATTTCAAATAGTTTCAGCTCTTCTATGATTCGTCTTTTAAGCATACTCAAAATGAATATTCAACAGGATATAGAATCTAATATCGGTATCTGAAAACTAAATGTTCAAAGTTGAAATTAGATTCAAATTTGGTAAGATGGATTTTAGCTTTGAGTATTCGTTTTGTGATAAATTTACCAGAGCATTTTCATGAGCACAATGGTGTAGTCCAAGGTGCTTGAGGCCGGCCTGTGTGTCAAACCAATTTTCTTATGTAAATAATATCATCTTTTTCTCTGACTCTACTCACACAATTACGCCCCACTTATTTTTGACATGTACATGAACTGAGTAAAGTTGACTCTTTGAGGGAACATTACCCCATACCTGAACGATTTTAAATGATTATTAGCTTTATAAAGAACGAGCATACTGCATTGGAGAAGCGGGCACTCTTGTTGTAGTAGAACCCACTTGAGTGTGTGCCTTTGTATTATTTATCTACATCTACTGAAGTTATCTCTCCATCTCTCCATAAACTTTGTCTGTGCCACTTACTCCATAGACAGCTGCCATCATTTGACTTGCACCCTGATATACATGTAATTCCCCACTGTTCCATCATATTATTATATTTGTTCCTTTTTCATACATGCTATTGCTGTGTGCTTTATGACTATCTATCATTATGTCGATGTCGTTGTTGATTTTTTTTTCACTATTATGTTTTATTCTTGGTTTGTTCTTTTGCTTGTGGCAAGACCTCCTGGCCTTGATAATCAACGTGCCCTCCTTTGTCTCTCCCCCTCTCTTCCGGTCCCCTCACAGGAGCGCTGGCGTATGCTGAGCTCGGTACTCTGATCACCAAATCTGGCGCGGAGTACGCCTACCTGTTAGAGGCGGGAAAAAGTCTCCCAAAGACTGTGGCTCCTGTCCCAGCCTTTCTCTTCTCCTGGGTCTCCGTATTTGTCCTCAAGCCCAGCCTCTTTGCCGTCATCTCGCTCAGCTTTGGTATCTATGTCATCGAACCGTTCTACCCAAACTGTGAGGCGCCGGACGGACTCGTGAAGATCGTCTCTGTCTTGTGCATCTGTGAGTACATCAGTTTGTCTATGCCTTGTCTATCTGGAGATTGTCTGTCAACAGTTCCTTGTTTACATGTAAGAGATAGGGTGAGCGCAAAGGGCGGGGGGGGGGGGGCGTGTCTTTGTCATGTGCATCCATTTGTGAGTGGATTTTTGTGTATATCAAGGAGTCAGGGATTGGGTGTGAGTGAGGAGGGGGAAGGAGAGAGAGAGAGAGAGAGAGAGAGAGAGAGAGAGAGAGAGAGAGAGAGAGAGAGAGAGAGAGAGAGAGAGAGAGAGAAAGTGAGAGAGTTTTGTATATTCATGAGCAAGTCATTGTGTTCACTCTCTTGAGTTATGGGTCTCTTTTTAGAGTATTGCATGACCTGAAGCTTGTCTGAGCTTTGTGTGTCTGTGAGTAGATAGTTCAATACGCACGAGGAGAGAGAATGTGTGGATATTTCCATACACATGTGACCAAAGTAAATGGTTGTATGTCTGTGTGTGTTTGTGTGTGTGTGTGTGCATGTGTGTGTGTTTGTGTGTGTGTGTGTGTGTGTGTGTGTGTGTGTGTGTGTGTGTGTGTGTGTGTTGTGTGTTGTGTGTCTGTGATAGTTGAGGAAAGAGAATGAGTAGATAGTTCCATACACATGGGTACCAGAGAGAGCCTCTATATTTAGTGTAGGCTTACCAGCTTAAGACTAGAGATATATATTTTAAAAAACAGTGTGGCTTTGTTCCCGACAACGATACCTGGAATGCTTTATTCATCCAGACAATGTTAACTGAAAGATGTATTGAAGCACAGATTTATTATTATTATCATTACTGTTGGGGTTGTTGCTGTTGTTAGAGTGTGCCCATACATCTCCACTATTGTAGAGTAGAAAACACCAAGATCTATAGCATTTGCTTGAAATCAGGTGCTCATCAATACAATGAAATCTAAGAAAACTACATTTAATTGGTCGCTTTTAAGGACAAGAGGGCTAACCCAGATTACGGGGGTTTTCGGAAATCTTGATCTACACCAAAAGTGGGCACTGCCCTACTTATAGGAGAAGTTTGGTTTCATTGGTGTGTATATTTGTTTGATTATAGAGAAAGCTCTTCCTTGTCTTTTAAAGAACCTGAACAAGGGGTAAAAACTTTACCTTCGATTTTTTCAAAACAACCCTTTTCTGGATAGCCCCCTTGTCCTTAAAAGCGACCAATTTGTATTCCCCTTTTATAATTTGTTATTGAATTCGGGGGGGCTCAACACATATTATGTCAATAAAAATGACATAACTGTTTGGATTTTACTGAAAATCATTGATTAAAGGCATATAAATAGCAAATTTTCACTTCCCAATGACTATGAAACATTGGAAATCACAAAGCTTTGGCTGCCTTTTTTTGGCAAATTTTACCTCCTTCAAGCCCAAATATCTCAACTTTTATTTAAGATAAATGGGTGTTTATTTTAATGAAAAAAAGACAAATGAGCTGCTTGTAATTATGATACCAAAAACTCCATATGACAAAAAATTTATGAGCACCTGATTCCGCTGCGTCGTGACACATTATGTGGTGTGTGATGCTATAGGACACTAATTATATTGACATGACATTTTCGCTCCCTAACCAGGCATGGTGGCTGCTGTCAACTGTCACAGTGTGGCTTTGGCCACTCGGGTCCAGAACTTCTTCACAGTGGCCAAACTTTTGGCTGTGTTGGTCATTGTGGTCGGCGGGTTCTATATGATGGCTAAAGGTAGGTAGTGTTGGTCATTGAGGTGGAGGATGGCTTTTTTAAGGGGGGAGAGGGTTGTTTTTTTTTTGGGGGGGGGGATTGTTTGTTTGTTTTGTTTTGTTTTGTTTTGTATTGGGTTTTTTTTGTTGTTGTTGTTTTTTTTGGGGGGGTTGTGAGTTGGTTTTGTTTTGTTTTTGTTTTTTGGGGGGTTGAGGAGGTGTCATTGTTAGGGAGGGAGGGAGGATGGGGACTCTACCTAGTGACTGTTGGCTGGTGTTGGTCTTTGTGGGGAGGGGGGGGGTCCACATAGTGGCTAAGGGGGAGTGCTACTGGAATTCTAGAATGACCAAGTGGGAATTCGCATCTGAAATGTTTTCCTCTTTTACCACTGAAGTAAAATATGCTGTTGTGAAGTGTGGGGATTTTTTAAAGTTTTGTTATTGTAAAGTATGAAAAAATGACAAAGGTAAAATTAATTAATAACTTTTGACCTTCTTTAAAATAACTTTTTTCCATAGTATTTCCCTTG